GCCAGGAGCCCCTAGTAGCGTCCTTGCTCCTAGTAGTATGGCCAGGAGCCCCTAGTAGCGTCCTTGCTCCTAGTATTGTGGCCAGCAGGCCCTAGTAGCGTCCTTGCTCCTAGTAGTATGGCCAGGAGCCAGCTCCTTGCTCCTAGTAGTACGGCCAGGAGCCCTAGTAGCATCCTTGCTCCTAGTAGTACGGCCAGGAGCCCCCTAGTAGCGCCCTTGCTCCTAGTAGTACGGCCAGGAGCCCCTAGTAGCTCCTTGCGCCTAGTAGTACGGCCAGGAGCCCCTAGTAGCATCCTTGCTCCTAGTAGTACAGCCAGGAGCCCCTAGTAGCGTCCTTGCTCCTAGTAGTATGGCCAGGAGCCCCTAGTAGCGTCCTTGCTCCTAGTAGCGATGCCCTTTGCTACTAGTAGCTATCATATACTAGTCCAAAAGATGAAGATGTTCAATATGTTCAATTTGAGAGAGAGAGAGAGAGTGTGTGTGTGTGTGTGACGAAAAGTGGCAGAGCCTGCAACAACATGGCACACTCAAACCGGGGCTTTCCACAACCCTTGACTATTCATGCTGATGAAGAATGTCCTTCAACTGAATTATATAGGAAATCGTTGGATTCTCCTGCTCTCCTTCCCAAATCGACGTGGTTTGTTCGTTCGGCTCGCATGTGGTTCTTGCTGGAATCCTTTCAAAACTTGAGAGTTTCTTTCCCGCGTCCCTTGCCCGAGATTCGGCCAAATGGTTCATTTGGGATAGCGGTTGGGTTGTGCGAAGGACTGAGGACTGCTGTCACTTGCTGGTTCATTGCTTTTGCCTGGGAGCAAAACAAGCTTTGATGTCAAACAAGCTCGTTCCTGCGCCTCACCGTGCTACTAACTACGTCTTCTCTTCCGTCTTTGGAGTCCCAGTCTCTGAAAAAGGCCAGAAGCTTCGCCTGGCTCACTGGACTGTCAGACCCCCAGGAAGCCACCCACTCAACCATTTCGACCACCCCACTCCAGCCAGTGGTGTGAGCCATGCGTTCCTGCGCTCCAGTCAAAGCCGCCTCGCATTGTTCACCTAGGCTGGGAGCTAAGTTCTCCTTCACCACTGTTTCTTTTCCGAAAAAGCGAAGAAGCACCAAAGCTTCAGGTTCTGGCAAGCGGATGTCACACCTTTGCAAGGCAGCCAGAAACTCGTCGCTGGAAATCTCTCCATTGCCATCCATGTCAAAGCGCTCGAAAGCCGTTGCCAGAACCAATCGGAGTTGGGTCAAAGAAAGATCCTGGCTTTTCGCTGCCTGAGCAGCACACAGAAGTGCATGCACTCCTTCCTGGAACCTTCTGCGATCAATGTCGACAGCGCCATTCTGGGTCAGCATCGAATGGAGTCGGTCACCGTCACCACTTTGAAATTGAACGTTGCATGTACCATTCAGTTCAAGCACCACCTCCCGCATGAAACGCACATCTGCCATGCCCCACTTTTGCACCAAGTGGTCAAACATCTCACCAAGCTCAACCAAAGATGGAATCGAGGAAAACTGCTTTGTGAGATTGGTCGACAAAGGTGACAGCGGAGATCCAATCTGTTTCCTCGAAGACACCCTTTCAGGGTCTGTGCATGAAGGCAAATCGTGTTGCTCTTCCTCGTCAGGAGGTGGACAGTTTGAGAGTTTCACTGATGCTAATAGCTTCGCGGAGCAAGTGACTGCACGGCGCTGAATAGGAAGAGTTGGCGGTTCACTTTCGACCCTAGGTTCAGAAGCTGATCTTGAAAATGGAACCAGAGCCACCTCAAATTCGAGAGACCCCGAGCTTTCCCGAGACCAAGCGCGCCGCACGGAAGCTGCTCTGTGGCACTGTGGTCGCAGCATTCTAGGCGTTCGCTGCACCAAAGTCCCCAAATGCCCCAAAAAACGTGGCGTCATCGAAATGACCCGACGGGCAGTACAAAAAGTTCGCCCCAGAGCTCTTCGAGCGCGGCTCTGTCGAACCGCCGATAAAACCATCAAAACAAGTGCCACAGCACATGTGGCATAAAAGCCACTCACCGATGCCCCAAAGGGCAACGATAACGAACTTGATGGCGAATCCTGGCACACAATCACACGTATGCATTTGGGGAAATTGGTGAGACTTGCAAATGTTCAAGTGGCACCAGGTCACCAGGCGAAATGCAGAAAGTCAATTGGGGAAGGTAGAGAAGAGGAACTACAAAGGGCTGTTGCTTTGGGCGTGCAGCACATGCATACAAGAGGTTATGTACGAGGCCCTTCTATCTGAAATGGTTTCTCACTTGGTCAAAGAATTTGCTGGGTCTGCGCTCTTAACTTTGGCATCTTTGGCTGCGCTTGCTCAATGCTAGTGCTGCTTGTCCAAGGACGTGCTGATTTTTTCAGCTTTGAACCAATGTTCGTTCCTCGGGATGCTCCCCTCAAAGTGGAGCGATAAGTTCGTCTTAACAGGAATTTCCGGCATTGTCAAATGACGTCAAATCGCAGAGAGCGATTATATACAAAAAAAAGGAACTCCGATCTCCCCAACAATCGCTGTTTGAAAGGCTTTAATTTGTGTCCTGGACATTCTTAGACCCGTAGACCAACTGTCGAATGGGACGGTGTTCGGAGTAGTATATTAATATATATATATGTGTATCTCAGCCAAATTCAAATCACCTCAACCATCTCTGTACACTGGCAGCCTGCCTGCTTGGCTGTCCATGTCCCAGCCAAGCCAGTGAAGCACGCCATGAGGAAGCCTCACCGTGCTGCAGGAGCCTTGACCAGAGTTGCTGAGCTGCAAAAAAAACACACACACACAAAGTACTACAATTCGATACATGTTGCTCTGTCCAAGCCTGGTCTCAAGCTGGCACACTTTGCTTAAAAACTTGCCAGGACCAATGGCTCACAGCTCTACTTTGGAATCCTAAAAGGCTTTGTGGAAACAAACATATGAGGGTTGCATTGTGCTACGGGGCTGCTATCATGCTGTGGCCCTGAGGCGGGAACCTGAGAGCAGCAACGGATCGGATTTGCAGAATCCAAGCCACATGCAAGATCTCTGTGCCAAGCACATTGTTACTACTAGCGATGCACTTGT